CATTTCTTTCATGCACACATACTTAAACCTTTTATTATGACATAACTCTTACAGAAATGTAAAAATAAACAGCTTCCATATATACCCTTAGCAAGATTTCCCAAATATTAGTATTTTAACAAATTTACTTATTCTCTTTTATATATATACATGTTTTTCTGGTCCTTGTGAAAGAGAGTTGCAAGCCTGATACTTCTTTACTTTTAAATACTTGTATATTTCAAAAACTAGGACATTCTCTTAAGTCACTATAATGTACTTATCAAAATTGATGCAGTGCTCTAAGCTAGTGCATGAACTTTATTCAAATATTATCAACTGTCTCAATAGTGTCTTTGATAGGAAGAAAAAATCCTGTATTTGTAGCTGCACGAAGGTCTCTTGCAATGTCATGTAGTTGGGTCTGTTTCATCTCCTTTAATCAGGGACCCTTCCTCAGTTTTTCCTTAACTTTCTTGACTTTGACATTAAAATATTTGACCATTCTCAACTTTGTTTTCTTTTTTGGTAATAATAACTTTATTGAAACATAATAATAATTTTGGTAATAACTTTAGTGAAACATAATCCTCACATCGTGCAATTCACTCATTTATAACAGTATATAATTTGGTGGTTTTTAGTTTATTTGTGGAATTGTACAACTGTTACCATTATCAATTTTACAAAATTTTCATCATTCCCATAAAGAAACCCAGTACTACTCAGCACTCTCTTCCCTGTCTCCCGCTGCCCATCTGTAGGTACTCACTAACCTGCATTGTCCTTGGAGATTTTTTTCTACATTTGCACATTTCATATATGCAACCTTTTTGTCTGACTTCAACATGCTGTGCACTTTGCAATCTAGGACTACACTGTAGACTCTGGCATATATGTAGTATACTTCCTGTAGTACAGAGGACACCATGCAGTGTGAAGTGGGCTCTGTGTACGAGTCCGTGTAAGAATATCACTCTGTGAGATCTACACAGTGACAACATTGCCTAACGGTACACTTCTCAGAATGTAGCTCTGCCTCTGTGCAATGCACAGATGTGTTTCATTATATGAATATACTGCATATTGTTTATCTGTTTATCTGATGTTGTGTGGATACAGCATCTTTTCATGTGCTTGTTGACCATTTGTGTTTCTTCCTTGGAGAAGTGTCTTTGCAGATTCCTTTCTCATTCATTCATTCATGCATTCATGCCATGCTCTTAATCTGTTGCCCTGGGTAGAGTCCTGAGGCATCCACATAGGTCACAGCAACCTCAAACTCTTGGGTTCAAGTGACCTGCCTCAGGCTCCCTAGGAGCTAGGACTATAGGCAATCACCAAAACACCCAGCTCATTTTTCTATTTTTAATAGAGATGAGGTCTCTTTCTTGCTCAGGCTGGTCTTGAATTCCTGAGCTCAAGAAATTCACCCACCTCTGCCCCTCAGATTGCTAGAATTACAGATGTGAGCCACCACACCTGGTCTATTTCCCCACTTTTAATTGTTTAATTTATCTTTTTATTCTTGAGTTGTAGAAGTTCTTTATATATTCTAGATAGAACTTACCAAGTATGACATGATTTGCAAAAATTTCTCCCATTTGTTGTCTTGTGGCTTTGTTGATATTGGCCTTTGAAGTACCAAAAGGTTTGAATTTTGATGATACCCAGTTTATTTTTTCTTTGATTGCTTATATTTTGGTGTTATATCAAGAAATCATTGTCTATTCCAAGGTTCATGTAGATTTGTGTCTCCCTTTTTTTCTGAGAGTTTTGCAGTTTTAGCTTAGGCTCAGCTTGTTGATGGATGGCTTCCTCTGTGTGTTGTTCTGGACGTCTCCAGGACTATAAGTTCTTCAGCTGCGTGCTGCAGGAGTGGGCGCAGTGCTCCCTAGGGCTTTTCTATTTCTAACTGCATAGGAAGGCATTTCTGTTCTGGCTCCATCATTGAATTTTCTCCTGTTTTACTCCTTTTTATTCTCTATCTTTTATCCTCAACTGACGTGTTGGTCATTCACCCACATTCACTGGGAAACTGACCAGCTTCTCCTTGTCCTACCTATGTCTCTATTGCCCTGGGCAATGTGAACATCTGTATGTAATGTCTCACCACCATTACAGCCTCTCACTTGGTTCTGTCTCCTTTCTAGTTGACATCACCTACATCCCTATTTCATCAGCCTGTTTCCATTGTCAGATCTTGGACCTTCTTATTCTTCAAAAATGCTAAAGTGCCTGTGTCGGTACTCTGATTATATTTCCAATCATCTCTCTTTTTTCCTTTCTCTCTCCTTTTTTGCTTCATTCTTTCATTACCCCCAGCTACACAGCCACTTAATTTCTTCTTTCTGATTCTTCTTTTCCTATCTAACCTACTCTCTAAACTTCCCCTTATTCAAAATGCATAGTAAATGTACTTTCTTCCATTTTCCTTCTAGTTCATTCTATGAATTTCTTAGTGTGGTTTCCCCAGCCCTTTGAGCCATTGTAGTGTACATTAGATGCTCAATGAATGATGAATGAATAAATAGTCAAATTAGCAAACCTAGAATCCTTTAGACAAAAATCTGTACGTCCATTTGGCTCCTACTGTAGAACTGCTGGGCCTTGAGAAAAGTCACAGCTACACTTTGAGTCATTGTTATAAATTCATGCTGTCTGATTTCAACTGGTAGGTCAGTACTGTCTCGCGATTTTTATATGTCCCTTGTCATCAATCTCTTTCATTTTCTGTATTTTTAAACATTCACTCTGTTCTTATTTCATAACATACTTTGTCACTCTTAGCAGATGACCTCCTCCCTAACCTCTACAAGACCACTGGCTTCTATTCCCATGTGTTCTTCCTAACCTCTCATTTCAGGAGTAGACAACTTGGCCTTTTTCTCACTCTAGGCTTATTTCTCTGTGTTTAAGCTCTTACTCTGTGCACCTTCTGAGGGAACTTGTACTAGTTGTTTTTCCTGTCTTCAGCTCCTCTGTTTGCTATCTTTCTTCCTTCAACATGTAGACTGCAAAAAGAAAGGAAATAGCTAAATATACTAACCTATAACAAACACACATTTGTTTGATATTCTCCAGGCACTGAGAGTCCTGTTTCTCCTTCTCTTTCTACCCAGCTTTTTGTAAGAGTAGTCTATATTAGCTTTCCCCTTTTTCTTATCCTTATTACTATTGAACTTGCTGTTTGACCTGGGTTTGTTAAGTGTCTTGTTTAAATCAAGCATACTCATTTTAATCTCTATGTTACTGTACTTATCTCTGTAGCATTCGACACTTTTGGCCCCTCCCTTTTCTTTAAAGTTGCTATTCTGGCTTCTTTGATCATTTTATATGGAAGCCACATGGACTCTCTTCAGAAAACCAGAGCCTAATAGTTTCCACATTTTCAGGTAGATGCATCTCCAGTTAGAAGTGTTTGTTAAGGACCAAAGACCTAGCATTTTCTGAGATCTACTTTGTCTGTAGGGAGCCTGAGTGATCAGAGGTAGAAGGGGGTTCAAGCGTGCTCTCAGGTCTTTATATCCTTGTAGGCATCCACGCTAGGCAGCTACCGCAATGATATAGATCTGTGTATACTATTGATGTAGAAGAAAAAGTGAAGGGATAGGTTTATCTTATATATTTGCTTATCTATTTACACATACATGTATTTTTCCCTCCTCTCATTTGTAAAAGGAGAGTTGTATTGCAGAACAGATCCGTGTAAAAATATGACACCAGAAAATGTCTTAGTATCTATTCATGAAACTGTTATTAGTGATTTCTTCTGAGGAGTGGAATAGAGGATGTTATGGGTTATTTTAACTGTTTCCTTTTTGTATTTCTATTTTGTTTAAATTTTTCCATGGTATTTCTTCTGTAGTAAAACAATGATAATTTGAGGATTTTTTTTTTTTTTTTTGAGACAGAGCCTCAAGCTGTCACCCTGGGTAGAGTGCTGTGGCATTACAGCTCACAGCAACCTCCAACTCCTGGGCTCAAGCGAGTCTCCTGCCTCAGCCCCCCAAGTAGCTGGGACCACAGGTGCCCGCCACAATGCCCGACTATTTTTTGGTTGCAGTCATTATTGTTGTTCGGCGGGCCAGGGCTGGATTCAAACCTGCCACCTTAGGTGTTGTATGTGGCTGGCGCCTTAGCCACTTGAGCCATAGGCACCGAGCCAATTTGAGGATTTTTAAAAGAAAATTAACTTTGAGTTATTCTTATTTTCTTCCTTTAGCTTCTTGAATCATAATATTACTTCATTTTTTTCATTTACCTTTTAAACTCTAGTCATGCTTATTCATTCTTCTTAGTGAGCTTCTCTTGTCATAACCTTGTTTATCTTAATCTCAAGAGTCACCTTTCTTGTCCTATGCAGCATTCTTGGTTCACTTTGTCTGATTTTATTACCTTTCCTCTATGTTCCTATGGAGCTTGGGAACTCTTCCTTTGTCACTGGCATGTAGAACAGTAGCTGTACGATTTGAATTTGTATTTCATGGACCTGAGTATGGCATTACTCAGCACATGACAGAAATTCATTAAAAGGGCTTTGAATAATAAATTAATAAAACATAATTTTGAATAGATCTCCTTAATATGTCTTTTTGTGTAGGTTGTCATTTTTTATTTTATTTTTTTCCTTTATATAAACTATATTATCAATCCATGATAGGTTGTCATTTTGTGCCATTTTTCATGAAGCTCTGTTAGAGAGGATGTATTATAATTAAACTTAAGTTTATATCTCAGGATGTGTTAAGTTTATATTGATAGATTATTCTAACACAACTCTGGGAAGTTTGTTGAAATTCAATGATTTCTTTAGTTTTTTTCAGAAGATAGGATGGTGATAATTTCATACTTCATTGTAACAGAACATTAATATAGACTCTTTTGTAATATCTCCAAATGTATTAAATAAAACCTGTATTGATGTGCTTAGAAATTATGTGACATTGACCTAAGCAGTATAAACATGCATTTTTCTTCCTTGTGTATATTTTTGCCTAATAGTTTATTTTCTTTTCTAGGTTCAACAGATAGATCGTGTAGTAGAAGTTGTGGAGGAAACAATTAAAGGTAATTATTGACAGCAAGAAGAGCGAATGTATATAGTTTCTGAACTACATTATGATAACACCACTCAGTTAACACTGAGCTTCTTTATAAAACTTACACTGTTCTCCCAGGTTTATGAAACAGACATTAATTGGTCTGAGCAATAGGATATCCTATAACAGCATGATAGCTGGGGACTTTACTACCCATCTTATAGAACTGGACAGAACCTCTAATCAGAAACTAAACAGAAATTCAGGGGACTTAAATACAACCCTAGAACATCTAGGATTACAAGTCATATACAGATCACACTATCCCAAAGCTAATGAATATATGTTCCTCTCAATAGCGCAGGAATATTCTTCAAAATAGGTCATATACTAGGACACAAATCAAACATCAAAAAAATTAAAAGATTTGAAATTATACTTTTTAGACCACAAGGTAGTAAAGGTAGAACTCAATACCAACAAAAATTTTCATCCCTACACAAAGGCACGGAAATTAAGCCACCTTATACTGAATGACAGTTGTGTCGGGAAGAGACAAAAGAGGAAGTTATTAAATTCCTTAAACATAACAACAATGAACCTAGAAGGTACCCAAACCTGTGGGATACTGCAAAAGTAGTTCTAAGAGGAAAATTTATTGCATTAGATGCTATATCCAAAAAACAGAGAACAGATCAACAACCTAATGAATCATCTTGAGGAAATAGAAAAGAAAGAGCAATTTCATCCCAAACCTAGCAGAAGAAAATAAATAACCAAAATTAAATCAGAAATAAATGAAATTGAAAACAAAAGAATCATTCAGAAAATTAATGAAACTAACAGTTTGTTCTTTTAAAAGATAAGTAAAATCAATAATCCTTTGGCTGCATTAACTAGAAACAGAAAAGTAAAATTTCTAATAACCTCTATCAGAAATGATAAACAAGAAATTGCAATAGATAACACAGAGATATAAGACATTATCTCTGACTACTATAAGAAACTCTATACCCAGAAATTTGATAATGTGGAGGAAATGGACCAATACTGGAATCAGACAATCATGCAAGACTTAACCAGGAAAAAAATAGATCTCTTGAACAGACCAATATCAAGCACTGAGATTGAAGAAACTTTATATATATATAAAAAAAAATCTTCTAACAACAGCAACAAAAAGCCTCTAACTAGAAGATTTCACACCAGAATTCTATTAAACCTTCAAAGATGAGCTTGTACCCATATTGCAGAACCTTTTCCAAAACATTCAGAAGGAAGGAATCTTTCCCCAACACAGTCTGGGAAGTAAACATCACTCTGATACCAAAACTTCAGACCAATTTCACTAATGAATGTAGATGCAAAAATACTCAGTAAAATCTTAGCCAATAAGATTATACTATACATTAAAAAAATTATATATCATGATCAAGTAGGCTTCATTCCTGGCATACAAGGAAAGTTTAACATATGCAAATTGGTAACTCACCATATCAATAGAAGCAAAAACAAAGCCCGTATGATTTTCTCAGTAGATACAGAAAAAGCATTTGACAAAATTCAGCATCATTTTCTAAGAAGAACACTTAAGAATATAGGCATAGGTGGCACATTTCTTAAACGGATTGAAACCATTTACAACAGACCCACAGCTAATATTGGAGTAAAACTGAAAGATTTTCCACCTAGAAATGGAAATAGAAAGAGTGTCCTCTATTGCCACTACTATTCAACATAACATGTTTCCCCGAAAATAAGACACCGTCTTATATTTATTTTTTCTCAAGAAGACACACTAGGGCTTATTTTTAGGGGATGTCTTATTTTTTATTAAGTATAATATAACAATCTACATTTATTCAAATACAGTTAAGTCATCTTCTTCTGCAGGGGGAGGGGAGCCGACCTTGTTGGTGGGGCTGGCTCTAGTGATGTGTGAACTCCTTTCTCCTAGCCGTTTGCACATGTGCAATAGGATGCCTGTGACGGCTGTTACCACACATGCACCCGTACAAGTGCGAATGACTTGGAGAAAGGTATTCTGGTCTTCCTTACTGCTTGGCGCTGAAATACATGGCGTGGCTATGCAGTGTAGCCATGTCTATCACTAGGTCTTATTATCTGGGTAGGGCTTATATTTAACAAGTGCATAGAAATCCTTATAGGGCTTAATTTTGGGGTAGGTCTTATTTTTGGGGAAACATGGTAGTTCTTGAAGTTATAGCCAATGTGTTTGGGCAAGAGAAGGATATAAAGGGCATCCAAGTGGGGGCAGAGGAGGTCAAACTCTTGCTCTTTGCCAATGATATGATTTTCTATTTAGAGAACGCCAGAAATTCAACCACAAAACTCTTGGAAGTGATTAAGAAATACAGTAACTTCTCAGGGTATAAAATCAGTGTCTCCAAATTATTGGACTTTGTATATGCCAATAACAGCCAAGTTGAGACGCTAATCAAGGATATAATTCCCTTCATAGTAGTTTTAAAGAAAATGCAATACCTAGGAAGTCCTAAGGTTGCAGGTGCTGGTGAGGATGTGGAGGGAGGGGAATACTTTTACATTGTTGGTGGGACTGTAAACTAATAACAGCCTCTTTGGAAAGAAGTGTGGAGAATCCTCAAGGAACTCAACTTAGACCTCCCATTTGATCCTTCACTCCCTTACTAGGCATTTGCCCAGAAAAAAACAATCATTCTATGGTAAAGACATTTGTACTAGATTGTTTATGGCAACTCAGTTTACAGTTACCAAGATACGGAAATAACCTAAGTGCCTATCAACTTAGGAATGGATTAACAAACTGTGGTATATATATACCATGGGATACTATTCAGCCATAAGAAGATGAATACTTTACATCTTTATACACTCTTCTTTGTGAAGTATCACAAGGATGGAAAAATCAAATATCCAGTGTACTCAATACTAATATGAAACCAGAAGATGATCTAGAATATACCCACATAATAGAAAATCTCAATTCAAGTTTGGGGGAGGTGGAAAGGGGGTTCAGTATGTTCCCACTTAATGGGCACAATGTAAGAGTTATGGCACGCTTTTTGGGTGCAGTACACAACTACAAGAGGGACACCACCTAACAAATGCAAATTTTGTAACCTCGTTGTTTGTATACTCACATTAACCTGAAATGAAAAAAAAATTTTTTTTAAGTTATAGTTTTAGATAAAAAATAATACTATTTTTTGCCAAGTATCATGACTCATGCCTGTAATCCTAACACTTTAGGACTCTGAAGCAGGTAGTTCACTTGAGCTCAGGAGTTTAAGCCCAGCCTGAGCAAGAGGGAGACCCCATCTCTACTAAAAATTCGAAAAACTAGCCATGCATTGTGGCACACAGCTGTAGACCCAGCTACTTGGGAGGCTGAGGCAAGAGGATTGCTCCAGCCCAAGGACTTCAGGTTGCTATGAACTATGATGATGCCATGGTACTGTGCCCAGGAGAACATAATGAGACTTTCTCAAAACAAACAAACGAAAACATATGTTTTTGTTTTGGCTTCAAGTACTCACTAATCTAATACAGGAGGCAGAAACTCTACTGTACATTTGACTTATAAATGAATCAGACAGTGGTCAAGTTTTAAAAATCTTATATAAAATGGATTTAGTTTGAATCTCAGATCATTTTGTATCTGCACATTTTCATATCATCACATAATTAGTTATAGTTTTGTTTTTTAAAAGTACTTTTAAACATAGTAGTTAATTTTGATAGCCTTGAGGTTTAATTTTTAAAGTTAGGCTAGAAAATAGAATTATGCTTGGATTTTTATTAACTGATGCTCATTCAAACAGATTCTTATTGAAGCCACTGAGAGATAAAATATTCTCAATTTTGTGGTTGAACTTTAAATATTTGTAGACTATTTTCCTGTGTTAGATCAGCACAAATGAAAACCAGTAATATGGTATTGAAATAATGTGTGAAATAAATTGTAAATCCCACTTAAAATTATTATTTTGTTATAAATGAGAAATTTATGTTATGAAAAGCCTACATCTATCAAATTGAAATTTTTAACTTCATACTTTTCCTGCTATCTTGTGTTTACTACTTTTCACATGCTTTTACTCATTATTCTTGAATCTTTCATTTATACTAAGAATTGATTATCACAGGCTAGGAGAATGGGAGTATACCTTAATCTTCTTTTGAAATTCAAAAATAAAATATCAGGTTTAAAAATTTATAGCAGTGATAATTTAGAATGTTTTTTGAAACTATATTTCAGCTCTATCTTATAGAATCTAGTGTACTATCATTTATTATATACTTGGCAAGTGAAAGGCACTGTGCTAAGTACTTCACTTGGGTAAGTCAAATGAGTATAAGTATTTTTCTCATTTTGCAGATGAGGAGGTTGGGACACAAGGGCATATAGCTAATAAGTTACATAGTTGGGATTTGAATCCATATAGTCTGTCTTCAAAGACTGTATGTCTGGTATACTACAACTCACACCATACTATGACTTCTCTGTTCCCTTCCAGTTGGGATTCACAGCCTGAAAGGTTGTGTCTGATTGAGGTTCTTAAGCAGTACTTCAAGATGCTTCAGGGTATTGGTGCTTTACTCATCTTGTGTTTTGAGTATCAGGCATGTACTGGCCACTCAATAATCTTTTTCTCTTTTTTTTCTTGAGACCTAGAGTCTCACTCTGTTGTACAAAGTAGAGTGCCATGGTGTCATGGCTCATAGTAACCTCAAACTCTTGGGCACAAGCGATCCTTGTGGCTCAGTCTCCTGAGTAGCTGGGACTACAAGTGCCCGCCACAATGCCTAGCTATTTTTTAGTAGACAGGGACTCACTCTTGTTCAGGCTGGTCTTGAACTCCTGAGCTCAATTGATCCACCCACCTTTGCCTCCCAGTGAGCCAGCATTACTTGCCTGAGCCACCATGCCTGGCCTGAATAATTTTTTAAATAAATTAATGATAATGAAGATAATATAGGAGAAAATTTAGGAGACCATTGGTATAGCGATAACATTTTAGATAG